CCATTTCACAGAGAGGGAAACCGATGTTCAAAGGGACTTGAGTGATCTCCCCCACAATGGAAAAGGGGTGTGGGCATGAGAGAGAGAGGGATGAGGAGACTCCCAGCCGCAGGGAGCAGCCTCTGTGACCTTTGCCTGTGGATCTGCCCTTTCTGCCTCCCCATCAGGCATGGCTTTCATGGATGCTGGGGAGGACAGACAATGTCAGTTTCTCTTCTTGTTTTAAGTAGTGATCTAACAGGACAGAAACAGGAAATAAGCAAAAGATATTTAGAGGGAGGAAATATTCCTGGGCTTTTGTCTAAAAATTTCTGTTCACATTAACTTGCTTTTTTGTTTCTTTTTTTTTTTTTTTTAACGTTTTATTTATTTTTGAGAGAGGGACAGAGACCGCGTGAGCAGAGGAGGGTCAGAGAGAGAAGGAGACACAGAATCCGAAGCAGGCTCCAGGCTCTGAGCTGTCAGCACAGAGCCCAACGCGGGGCTCAAACCCACAAAGAGATCATGACCTGAGCTGAAGTAGGACACTTGACCGACTGAGCCACCCAGGTGCCCCTGTTTATTTAACTTTGGATGCATTTAATGCAATCCTAGCCGAAAAGGAGAGAGAGAGGAGGGAAGCGCTGAATGACTGGCTTTCTGGTCTGGTACTCAGGAAAGGGCTGACATTCATTATATCTGTAGTGGGAATCAGTTCATTGAGTGGGGACGGATATTGCTCTTCACTTCACACTGTTCTCTAGCATTTGAAATTTTTCCATGAACCTGTGTTGCTTTTATGAACGAAACAGAGACTCATTTCTTCCTCTCCACCTAACCTCCACTTGTTCGGGACCAAGCTGATTCTATCTTGCCTGCAATCCTAACGCTTTTCTAACAACTTGTATCAAAAGAGCCCCTACTCAGAGAGTGTTTGCTGTATGGGAAGCACAGTGCTAAATTCTTTAAATATCCTCCATACAGCTCACCATAATTCTTTTTATAAATTTATTTATTTATTTTGACAGAGAGAGAGTGCATGGAGGAGGAGTATAGAGAGGGAGGGAGGGAGAAAATCCCAAGAGGCTCCACACCGTCAGTACAGAGCCTGATGCGGGTCTCGAACTCACGAACCATGGGATCATGACCTGAGCCGAAACCAAGCGCTGGATGCTTAACCGACTGAGCCAGCCAGGGGCCCCTGGTCACCATATTCCAAAGGCAGACACTACCCTCTTCTTATAGATGGGGAAACTGAGTCTTGGATAGAGTAACCTGTTGAAGCTCAAGGAGTTCACCATAAGCCAGAGAGCCAGGATTGGAAGCCAACAGAACCTGAAGCAGCCCCCTAGGTGGGACCACTACCACCGTTCTCTGCCGCCAGTTACCTTCTTCGCTAGGTCTGATCACATTGCTCCTCTGCTAAAAACCCAAGGAGCTCCCCCCTCACCCTGCGGAACAGGGCGCCTGGAGAATACAACCTGGTGTCTCAGAACATCATTTCCAAGTCCATGTTCAGTGCACTCATCCACGCACTCGTTATAAGCCAACAAATAACAGCACGCCCTAACACTGACTTCGAAGCAAGTTTACATATCGTCTTTCAAAACCCCTGCGCAGAGGCAGGTGAGCCAACAGGTCCTGCGGTTTGTCAAGTGTGAGGACGTTCCTTCTTCGTCCTCACAGTGCTCGGTGCCTCCTTCCTCATTTCAGGCATGCCAAGTTCCTCCACTCCTCTGCTCTGCACGGCTCTCGCTGCTAACAGGTATGCCCTGCACCTGCCGAACGCCTACAAATCCTTCACGGTTTCTGTTGCTCAAGTGAGCCCACCTTTCCTTGGGTTCTCCTGACAGCCTGATCCACTTTCCCCCCACTGGAGCACGGACCGCATTACACTAGATGCATTTCCTGGTCAGACTGTCTTTCTCAGCAGACCGTGACCTGTTCTAGAACAGAGATCAGGTGTCGCGAGCATGACCTTTGTGAGGAAGCGGGGACGGACTAGTGAGGATGATGGGATGAAGGAAGAAAGACAGGGCTAAGGGCAAGGCTGTGTCTACCTCTTCCGGGATTCACATGACACCGAACCAGTATTTATCAAGGCGGAGTATAGTACTAGGGGAAAAAATAAATGGTAAGCAGGACAGAAATGGTAACATGTGTAGTGTGTGTGTGTGTGTGTGTGTGTGTGTGTGTGTGTGTTCGCGTGTGCATTTTTGTGAGTGGAGAGAGGAGGGAACATATACCTATACTGTGTATATATAATGTGCATATGTAATGTATATATGTGCATGTACATATACACACACATGTATATGGGGTGTGGTGTGTGGGTGCAAATGCATGCCTGTGGACATATAATAGTGTGTGGACCTATAGTCTGTGTATGGCCATACACATAGTGTGCATACACATAGGGTGTATATATGCACATGCACTTGTTAGATGTTGTGTGCATGCGCCAGAATGAGATGAGAGTGCCATAGATGCTCTTGGGCAGAATAGATACTTTCTAACAAGAGGAGCAACACCCACAGGCTTGCCTCCCTGCTGAGGAAAGTGTGGATCCACTGAAGGAAGCTAGAGAATTAGAAAGGAAAGCAGTTTGGAGAAACCTCACTAAAACCGTTCTAAGAAAAGGCTGGTTAGCAAAAACAAATACCCTTGAAAAGAAAAAGAAAAAGAAAAAAAAAAAAGCTGGGCAGATGGAAAACCAAGAGGAAGAAGTCACTAGATTGGCTCATTGGGAAGAGAGCAGGGAGCCGGGTGTGGATGCTTCCAGAAGAGGTGGGGGCTACATGACTCAGAGGTAAGGAAGTAGGAGCAGACAAACACAGAGTTCTCTTTCCAAGTCTCTAGCCTTGAAAGGAGGACAAGAGAATTAACTTCCATGGAAAGGCGGGATCAAAACCTAGGCTTGCTTGATTTGGTCTCCCTGTGGATGGGAGGCCCCTGTCCCCTCCTCCATGGCCATCTCAGTGCTCACATTGTGAAACATCCCCGGCAGCAAACCAACCGTCCATGACCTTCAGCCCCCCTACCCTGCACACGCGGTAACACAGAATCCCCCGTGAGGCAGGCTCTGAGATGATCATCATTTCACAGATGAGGATGTCAAGGCAGAGACAGGCCAAGCAATCTGTCCACCATCACTCAGCTAGCGAGTCCCAGAGTCCAGCCCCCCAGGGCAGTCTGGCTGCTGATACACAGTGAGGAATACAGAAAACAGAACCCTTGGCCCAGGTCCTGTTTAGACTGGCATGGCCCACTCTCCTTGGCTTTGAATCCTGGGACATCCAAGCAAAGTAATGGGTCAGGGATGGAATTTTGCTTGAGGGGCGGTGGCTGAGGAGGAATAGCCGAGAGGGGCCATCTGGTGGTGTGGCAGGCTTGATATGTCCCTGACAGCCGCAGAGAGCATCGCAAGCCTCAGAAGACTGGAGTTCGAGAACTGGCTCTAACTCCTAGCGTTTTATAATCAGGAGCCAATCACCTCCCCGGCACAGGTACCAGTGCTCCATCTCCGATACAGGATGGGAACCATCATGGTAATACTAGCAACCACTGTCCTACCTCCTGCAGAGTGTAAGGAGCGAGTGGGGAAATACACAGAAAGTGCACTAAGATGTGAACTATTTCACTAGTATTGTTATCATCAGGCTGTCAAACTCTCTGAAAAACTGCCCATCCTCTCCGCTCCCCCACTCCACCTTCCAAAGCATTAAAACATCAATTCAGAGAAAGTGTTTCCTAGGGTACAGCTTCCCCAAGTTTCCCCTGATACAGCAAGGTGACATGAGACATTGAAAAAATTCTCTGAGCTGTGATACACTGTCCTAATCCAAGGTATGTAGGCAGTTTGGGTGTAACCCCACTTTCATATATCAGTATAATCTTTCAGACTCGGCGTGGACCTTCTGTGGACAGAGGAGAAGATAATTTAGGTGAAGAAACCAGAAGAGCACACCTGCTGGGAGGGAATGGGGGGCGGGGGGGAGGGGTTGTGGGGCGTGCGGAGAATCAGCAGAATACCCCGGCCCTCTGACTGCATCTTGGGAGAGCCTGCACCTATTTCTCAGGTCTCATTTTGCAGGCTGTGGATACCAGGGCTTCAGATGGATGTTTCACTTTTAAACGAGACAGCTTGGTTCTTACATAATGAACCTGGAACTACATACAAAGTTGCCATTCTTTAGACTTTCCTGTCTAAATTGCAGTGATGTTTTCTGTGACCCTATTTAACTCTGTTCCAAAGATAAAATGCAAACAATCAGGCAGCAGCCCTTGGGTTACGTGATGGGTAAGAATCGTGTGGTCAGTAACGAACACTCATAGGTAATCTGAGAGAACAATCTGGAACACGGTCTCCCTTTACAGATGAGGAACCTGGTACCGAGGGCCAAATTCACTTTTCCTCTCTTTGAGAAAGGGATATGCAATCTGCATGTGGGTCTTAAGGAAAGTGAGTATGCAAGAACTCCCAATTCCAGAAGCTATGTGTTTGCTGGCCTTTTACACGAGACGGCTCCCTGAGGAGGGCTTACTCCGAATCTCTTTCTGTGTCTTTCCACCCTTCTAATGCACACACTTGACTCGCCAGTTTTGCAAAGCAAGGCACATTGCGCAACACCACTCTCGTCCAAAGAATCAAATGGTTGAGCGAGTTAATCTCTCTAAAACTTTAGAAGGTAATTCTTTGGTTTGCTTGTTATGTAGAAATCAGCTGAAAAACCGAAAACCACCCAGAACAATAGTGGTTTTCCTCCCTGTGAAGTTGCTAGAGGAAGACAGACTAACGGATCCCTTCTCCTGCCTCTGTCTCTCCTACAATCCCCCCAAAATACCCTCCCACGGGATTTCTCTCATTCTAAGGCTGAAGCAGACTCTGAAGGACACCCCTGTCCAGCTCCCTCTGCCAGTTTCAGTATCTATCCGTCAAAACGCCAAAAAAACAAAACAAACAGCAGCCAGTACTTGTTTGATTCAGGTTGGATTTTTTTTTTTTGCATTTTTAAGGCACAAATAACATTTCATTGTACATAAATATACAGTTATATGAAAAAATAGGGGGAAAGTACAATACTTGTGATCACTGTCCAGCAGGGATATGCTTCATTGCTCATAGTCTCCATAAAAATATCTTCTTGTAGCCTATTTCTATGACACTTTCAGAAATATGAAAGTCCTTGCCCTACAAACAAATCGTTTTAGAGATGATTTAAATATGTCTGTGACGAGTGCCTAACATATCCAGGAATCAAAGCTCCGGAAGTGAGCTAGAACTCGACTCCGAGTACGGTCCTCCATACACAAAAACGATATAAATTACTCTGTCAGGCTGTGAAAATACATCAGACTTAACCCACAAATCTCTATCAGGCAATAAATTACTTACAAAACCAAAACAACACAAAGGCTCAGGTGTGTCTGTCCTGATTCAAGTGTGAAGTGCTCAGCAGTCCCGGGTTCGAGGGGCACCCAGCCACCGCGCCCGCGGGGGGCGGGGGGAGGGGGCACACGTCACTTGGCACGCGCCGGCCGGAAGGTCCCCAGCAGCTTGTCCCAGTGCGTGAAGTAGGGGGCGAAGTTGCAGTTGAACTGCGAGTGGTGCAGGTCGTGGTGCTCCACGCCGCCGTAGCAGCCGAAGGGCACGAGTCGGTGCGTGGACCACGGGAAGTCGTAGCCCGAGTGGTCCTCCACCGACAGCCAGATGTTGAGCACGTGGAAGAGCAGCGCGGTGAGCGGGTGGCACTGGAGCAGCGTGACGTTCAGCAGGTGGAAGAAGCCCAGCGAAAAGAGCTCCCAGACGCTCATGTACTGCGTGGCCAGCGCGAACGACGCCGCGTTCTGGTGGTGCACCTTGTGGAACGTGCGGTACAGCCAGGGCACCCGATGGTGCAGCACGTGCCACGCGAAGAACTCGGCGTCGAAGAGCAGCAGGCAGCAGGCGGCGTGGCGCACCAGCTCCAGCAGCTCGGGCGCTTCGGCGGGCATGGGGGCCGGGCCGCGCGCCCAGTGCAGCAGCGTCACGGGGAAGACGAACGCGGCGTGCTGGTAGAGGGTCTGCGCCAGGCAGGGCAGCAGCTGCCGCGCCGACGGCGCGAAGTCCGGGTGAATCTTGTAGCGCCGCAGCGCGGGCGCCCAGGGGCACAGCACGTCCAGCAGCACGAAGGGCAGGCAGCAGCCCAGGTAGGTGCAGATGGAGAAGGCGGCCGGGAAGAAGGGCGACTGCAGGAGCGCCTCCCGGGCCCGCAGGCTGTCCCACAGCGGCTGCAGGAACAGCCGGCCGGGGCTACAGAGGACCTGGAACTCGGACGCGTTGTGGCCGCTCATGGCGAGGCCGTGCCCTGCAGCTGCTACGGCTCGGGTCCCGCCGCCTTTTCTTTGCGGCCGCGACCGCGGCCCCGCCCCCCGGGTGACGGCAGCCGCCCGGGCGCTGGCTCCAACCGCGGCTCCCGGCTTGGAACATAAATAGCCCCGCGGAGCCGCGCTTAGTGGCACCAACACGCGTCTCCGGCTGCACCCTGGCCCCCTTATGTGCGTCCTGTGCAGTGTTACTGAGTAACTTTTCGCATGCATGCACGTTTATGTTCCGATTTTTTTTTTACCATACAACTTAATTCCTCTGTGTCATCATCACCCGCAGACGAGATAAAGGAATATTTCCGTCACCACGATAAAGAGCGCCTCTGCAATCAGTGCAGAATTACTTGTATTTTTTAAAATAGAATTGCGTCCGCGTGCTTTCATAAAGAGGCAAGTATCATTGCATCTTTAAAAAAAAAAAACTTTTTAAAGAGACGTAGTTTCTGTATTTCGGGTCTTTTCCGTCTGCACACCTGCTATCGATCTAACCAGCTGCGAAGCTGCAAAGTAACCTTTAGCTGGGAACCGCGTGCAGCGGCCACCGGCGCAGGAAGTCAGAGCCCCGGGTGCGGGCGGGACCAGAACCTCCGCGGTCCCAGAGCCTCGGAGAGAGGCTCTCTGCGCCCGCGGGCCCCAAGCTCCCGACCCCCCCCCCCCCGCCCCACCGCGGACTCCCCCGGGCGGCGGGTCTTTTCTCCGCGGCGCGCGCGGCGCCCAGACCCGCGACCCGGACGGGGAGGTGCGGTGGTGACAGCGCGGGGGATCTCGACTGTTAGATTTCAACTTTTTTTAAGGGGATGGTGGAAGTGGGTTTTAACCCCCAGAGCGTGCCCAGATCTCGCTAAAAAGCCACCAGGTCTCGCCGCGGGATGGAGGTAGGAAAGCATGACCCACCCACGTTGTGCAGGAACGTTGCGCACCGAAGCTCCGCGGGAGGCTGTGGAGGCAGCCGATGAGGCCGCGCCGGCCCTGCCCTCCTCTCCGCAGGCTCCTCGCGGCCAGCCCTCCGCTCGTCCTCGCGCTCCCGGACCATCCCGGGGGCCCAGAGACCGGCCCCACTCCGCGGCGGTCGGCGGGCCACCGGGTGGGCAGGCCGGGGTCGGAGCCGGAGAGTATCGGCACCGGGAGAGCTCTGGGGCCACCCGGGACCCGGCAGCTGCTTAGGAGACCACCGCCGCCTTGCCCGGGGTGGCCGGCACGCGACACAAGAGACCCCTAGAGAACAGAAGTTTGGGACCAACACTCTAAAGGCGGGACCAGTCCTAACTAATGCCGGCTTTGCCTCTTCTAGTGTCTGTGAGGTTGGGGACAGCGCCTCCCTCCCCAGGCTTTACATTTTTTCTTTTTATGGTTTTTGTTTTTGTTTTTTGAGAGGGAGAAAGAGCAAGGGAGAGGCAGAGAGAGAATCCAAGCAGGCTCCAGCACCACCAGTGTAGAGCCCCATGGGGGGCTCAAACTCACAAAGTGGGAGATCCTGACCTTAGCGGAAATCAAGAGACACACTTAACCCACTGAGCCACCCCAGCGCCCCAAAGCTTTGCGTTTTCTGATCCATGCCCCACCTAGCCAGACCCTCCCAACCATCCCTACCCACCTCACTGCCCACCCCCACCCCACCTCACCTCCCCCAAAGGAAAATAATAGTAGCCATCTCATGAGGTTATTTCAAGCATTAAAATGGGAAACAACAATAATATAATGTCTGCCAGGCATTAGCTAAGTGTTTCACTTGAAGTGATTTCATCCAGTCCTTGGAAGGCCTGGGCTGCTTCCCAGCCAGGAAGCAGCATCACTGTTACCATCGAGGCCTGACAGAAGCAAGAACGGAGTGCGCGGCACATGGCCAACATACAAAGTAAGACGCGTGATATTTTAAATCTGTACTCCATGCTTTACCTAAAGAGGAACTGAGGAAGTTTACAATTAAGTTCAAATAAAATCACATAAAGGGAAATAAGAGATGGAAAGACATAAATGAGGAGAGAATCGGCACAACAGAAACACAGACCAATATATGGACCCAGAGGTGCAGCAATATATAGGATGTGTAGGTGTGATGCACAAGAAGCCAATTCATAATATATATGTTAACACCTAATCATGTACCGGATGTCATGCACACACCCTCTAATGCGCTAACTCATAATTCACAACCTCCGAAGTGGTGTGTGTCCCCGCACTTTCGCGGACGGAATGTACATATTCCCTCGGCACCCGTTCTCTGCGGCATCCAGCCATACCGCATGCACCCTTTCTTTATTATTTTTGTTTAACACTTATTTATTTTTGAGAGAGCGCGCCAGTGGGGAAGGGCCAGAAAGAGGGAGAGAGAAATCCAAAGCAGGCTTCTCACAGTGAGCACAGAGCCTGACATGGGGCTCGAACTCAGGAACCATGAGATAGTGACCTGAGCTGAAATCAAGAGTCGGCCACTCAACTGACTTAGCCACCCAGGCACCGCACAGCCTTTTTTTCTTCAAAACTTCTGTATGCTACAAGAATATTATGATATTCTGCTTGTGTGTTGACGAGACAAAGGTTCAGAAACAGCTCTGAGCTTCTTGACCACCAGTGCACACAAGGAAAGAAGGTGGATTCTCTAACTGGTTAGAGGGCTAGAGGGTAGCAGAGACGGGTACAGTGCAAGCCCTTGGCCCCTGCTGGTGAGTTTCGTGCACATAAACAACCTGTGGGTTCTAGGCTTCTCTTCAAGCTTCCACTCCTCCAAAGCTATTTCTAATTCACCTTCAGGGTGACCTAGGAACCTCCTTCGTTCCCATTCCTGGTAGACATGGCCTGCCCTTGAACTCTGTATGGCTCAAGCAGCAACTCAGAGAAAAGAGGAAGGGCTTGGTCTCCTTCCCTCTGGGGCCCCTCAGTGCTCCAAAGCTACCATCAGAGCTGACTCTGTCAGACTTATGAACGAATTGTGCTCAGAGGTAAAGTATCGCTCAGATTTGCCCTTGGAAGAAATTAAGTCAACCTTCAAACTACCATTCAGCACACGCTGTCCTCTGTTTGTGATTTTGGCCATCATGCTTGGATGCTTTGGATGCTCTCGTGGGCTTTTCTGAATTGGTGGCATGGACAGATTGGACTTGGCTACTTTAATTTGGACTTAGCTATCAGGTTGCCATCCGGACTGCCTCCTTTGAGCCGCCAGCCCCAACCTACCCATTCTTAGGCTTCTTGGGTTCTTCTATCCTCTGTCACTAAGCCTGTTAGAATAGTCTCCAAGGGCTGGTTGTGTAAAGCCCTGTGCGAGGCCCCAGTCTCCCCCTGCCTGGCCCAGGCTCTCCTCTCCCCCTCTTGCTCACAGCACTTTGAAAAATAGCTGCTGGCTTCTCTGCCTTTCCGGCGCATCAGCTGCCCAGGACAGAAGTTTGCATCCCATATACAAATCCGACCATCTTGGGAAAAGGAGTCTGGTCTGTTAAAATCTCATCACTGTTCACTCGATGTCATACGGAGGGTGCTGAAAAAAAGTTAGCACCACATTATGGGCGACCAAAATCAGCTTCGCCTAACGGACCCACATAGAATCAAACACTGTTTAGTTTGGACTAAGGCGGCATCATTCCTTACGCTGGCGTGTGCGCCTTTGAACACTTCATTTACAAAAAACATACTGAACAGCTTGATAGATCTTTCTAGGGCACCAATTCCATCGTTTAGGATTTTTCCCACAGGGCCAAGCATTATACTATATATACTGAGTGCTCAAAGCGGTATTTGTGGATTCAATGCTCATTCTTAAAGCTCTAAACCGAGACTTAAAAATAGACACATTGTTTCCCTAGAGCACTGGTTGGTGTGGTTTAAGGTTACTTATGTGCTGGGATAGCTTTTACTGATTTCTGGTGGTAGAAAGACTTTGGCTGTACAATTTCTTGTGTTTCTCCAGTTGATTTTGAGTTCCTGTGTATCGTTTTTATCTTGGCACCATCTTTTTGACTGAGTTAGAGGACAGGATTCCTTTCTTCTCCAGCTACCCCAGAGATCGAATCACTTTTACCAGACAGACTGCAACAATCAAGTCTGTGCATATTTAAGCACAATCTCGAAGTTATTCAGTACTGCTCACCAGAAGACTCCGGATACTGCCCCCACTCCCCACAAACAGAACACACAGTTGGCAAAATTCATTACCAATGACATCATCTCTTTTTCTATATGACCTTTAGGATTTTTTGTCTTTCCAAAATTAGGTAAGATGTTCTTTGATCTATCTATCCAAACCAAATATTGCCGGATATCAGAGATAAGAAGTGTGTTACAACAGCCATAACCTGTAAGACTCAGGGACTGTAGGGTAATGTCAAAAATTAAAATGTAATCTACTCACTGTAAAAATGAAGGCTTGGGGTGCCTGGGTGGCTCAGTCGGTTAAGCATCCGACTTTGGCTCAGGTCATGATCTCATAGTTTGGGGTTTTGAGCCCCGTGTCGGTCTCTGAGCTGAAGCAGGTCTCGGAGCCTGCTTCGGATTCTGTGTGTGTCTCTCTCTCTGCCTCTCTCTCTCTCTCACACTCTGTCTCTCTCTCTCTCAAAAATGAATAAGCGTTAAAAAATATTTTCAAAAAACAAAGGCTTCTTCTCAGAAAAGTCAGGACTAGTTAGGGTTGAAGAGAAAAATCCCAGCCAAAGTGAGAGCAGAAACCTGGGTCAGTTTCACAGTCGTCCTACAGGACTTTGGTGTTGGAATGAGGCAGTGAAGTTACATTTCTAGGGAAGTTTATGGAAGCCTCAGAGAACATTACTTACCCACCCCAAAACAGTAGAAGATGCTGCTGAAAAATGTGGGAGGTGTTAGGTTCCCCCACGAGACCCCCTGACACCCTATTTCATACCAATGCTGCCACACATTTGTTTTTAAACACTTTGTGTTTTGTTTTTATCCATCCACATAAGTGTGTGCTTCTACTGAGATTGTTGGAATGCTCACCAAGCCCTTTAAAATACGTAAAGCATATAAAACCATCTCCATGAGAAGGCATACCGTTGCCTGTAAAGCAGAGAAAATACTTACCTCACTTGCCAAAGAGGTTGCCCTAAGAATCAAGCCCTGGGAGAAGGTTTTTAAAAATTGAAGGCACAATGTGAAATGCAAAGTACTTTTCAGTGCTACTAAAACAAGTTGGCAGAAAGAGTTTTACTTGCTTAATTAGGAATTGAATTTGAAATCTGTACCTAGTATGATGTGATACTCAATAAATACCCTGGAATGAATTACTGACATGCTTTCTAAAAATCAGAATAATTATTGGGGCACCTGGGTGTGCATCAGTTAAGCATCCCACTCTTGGTTTCAGCTCAGGCCATGATCTTATGGTTTCATGAGTTTTAGCCCTGCATCAGGCTCTGTGCAGACAGATTGGAGCCTGCTTGGGATTCTCTCTCTCCCTCTCTCTCTGCCCCTGCCCCACTCATGCTCTCTTTGTCACTCTCCAAATAAATAAATAAACTAAATAAATAAAAATAAAAATCAGAATAATTATTGCCACCTAATACTGCCTTTCAGGGAGGTCACATTTTGAATATATCTCCCTGTATTAAAAAAAATAAATGACAAAGGCTACAAACAGTATATTTTAAAAAATGTTTACATTTACACATTAACACCTGTAATACAAACACAAAATAACCTTCATTATTTGGAGACAATGTCAATAGTCCAAATTGTGGTCCTTCATTCATATGAAGTCTAGGTTAAAGCCTTCCTCACCTCCTCTTCCACGTCTGAAGTTCTGACCACTCTTTTACCCACTGGGCAAATTTTTATCTTCATGTCACATTGGGGCACAGCTAGTCTTTGAGAACATTTTTCAGATATTATGAATTAGGCAAGAACTGGTCATAATCCTGGATAGAAATGACCCAAGATATGGTTGATCTCACCAGTCCTCAAGTTACCAACTGGCTCGTGAATCAACAAAATTCTCTCCCTTTCCCAGGGGAAGAGACAGGAGAAACAGCCGCCTCACGGAAAGAAAAGGTTTGGAAGCAAAGCCAAGAGTGCCCTCTTCTGGCGAATGAGAAAAATGACTTTGCTCTCCATTGTAACTTCATTTGGGGGTGGCTTTCCCGGGGTGACCACAGCATTATAGAGTTCCCAACTGGCAGAATATTAATTAGTCTTCTTGCCCTAGAGATCTGTGGACATCCTTGTGTTCTTCTCAAAAGAATGTATATATCAAACCGGGTTGAAAAGGAGAGTCAGAACCCCTACCAACTTGTTACAGACATCTTAAGACACAAGCTCGTGCCTTGCATTGCACTCGGCCGAAGATAAAATAAGACTGTTCTATGCACCAGTAGAATAAAACAGTGGAGAAACATTAATGGAGCCGGGGTTATACAGACAAGGGGCCTATGCAGCAGTGTCAGGAACAAGAGGCCAGTACCAAAGGCAAATGTGCAAGGTAACAGGACTGTGTCAGCAACAGGTATGCAACATCTCCACCTCTAGACTGGCCCACGCACCCACAGAAGGTCCCCAGAGAAAAGTCTGGAAAGGAGGGGAAGAGAAACACATGCCAGTAAGAGGTGGACTCTGTAGAATGCACCAACCCCCCACCCCCACCTCATCCCCCACCCCCGCTCATCTGTAGTGCCTGGTGTGTGAAGCCATACTGACTCATTCTCAAGGGACCTTACTGGAGCCCCCAGGGTGGCACCAAGTCCCCTGTAGCACCGAAGCCATTCTTGCTCAGGGGAAGCTCTCTCCCGCTAGAAAACAACAAACAGAAACACCTACTCTCTGTCCCTTTCTTTCCAGCCCCACCCAAGGATCTTCCACCTGGTTGGCCAAACCAGTGTGCCTTGGTGAAACGACAGAGAAGGGGTTTGGGGGCGGGGGAGACATAAAGCCAGCCAGCAGAGTGACATCCTTTGGGTATGTATATTCTTTGCACCCAATACAACCTCTTTTCGTTTCTTTTTTAAAGTTCACTTATTTTGAGAGAGAGAGAGAGAGAGATCGTGGGGGAGGGGCAGAGAGAGGGAGAGAGTCCCAAGCAGGCACGGGTCCCTGAACACACAAACCATGAGTTCACGGCCTGAGCCGAGGTCAGACGTTCGACCAAGCCACCCAGGTGCCCCAAATCTGACTCTTTTCTGTGGGTGCCATGAAAAAACAGATTCCACTCCAGTCCTTAGACACTCCCAGATGTTGCTTGTGCATCTAAATTCATTTGGCTGACTGGCAAAGTATCATTTTTCACACATATGGTCCATCCACATGGATTTAATGACTCACCATATTCCAGGGTTTGTGTCAGATTCTGGGTACATAGAAATAAGTAAGATAGGGGCACCCGGGTGGCTTAGTCGGTTAAGCGTCCGACTTTCGCTCAGGTCATGATCTCGCGGTTTGTGGGTTCGAGCCCCGCGTCGGGCTGTGTGCTGACTGCCAGCTCAGAGCCTGGAGCCTGTTTCAGAGTCTGTGACTCTCTCTCTGACCCTCCCCTGCTCACGCTGTCTCTCTCTCTCTCTCTCTCTCTCTCTCTCCTAGAAATAAATAAAACATTAAAAAAAATTAAAAAAAAAAATAAGTAAGATAGCTCTTCTGCCCCCAAACTCACAGAGTAGTGGGAGAGCTCGCCTTAGACCCCTCTGCATAAGTCTGTTTTAGGGACCCTATAGCATGACTCATCTCTGCCGGCTTCAGCTGCTTCATTTGCTGGAGGAGGGCGTTGGACAGACAGTCCTTGAACCCGTGACAGCTGGCCCCCAGGTCCCTGCTTGGTCCCCATCCAGATTCACTCAATGGGCCCTGTGGGATCAGGTTGAGAGCCTGTGTTTTCAAACTATGCCCTGACCTCGACCTCCCGTAGGTTTGAGACCACTCCCTCCTCACCCTCACCCTGGTGAGGGATCAAAGTTCACGGGCAGGATCAGTGAAGCTTACAAGGAGTAAAGAGGAGGGGAGAAGATGAGAAAGAAAAGCGTAACCTGTATTTCCCTCCAAAGGAGAAAGGGAAGTACAGAACAGCCATTAAGTAAAGGAAAAAACCTACATACACACACACAATCCCTCAGCCAATGAGGCTATTCAGTTTTATTGAAACGTTCAAGACTTTTTAAGTAGGATGCTGCCTGCATCTATCAGTGAACACCAAGTATCCTTTATTACTGTGGCTGAAATAGCTGTGTCAGAAAAACACGCCAATTGTCATTCTGTCCATCTGTCAGTTTTGCAAGGGGGCAGCGCTGTGTGCAAATTAGGAACCCGGTGCGCAAATCAGGAGAATTGAAACTATGGACACACAGAAAACCAGAAAACAAAGAGACTCCCTGAGCTCTGATCTCAGAACATTCACGCTCACATGAGTTAAGACGCCCCTCCCAGGCAGCCCCTGGGCTTCTGCGTCCTGGTTATCAGCACTGGTGCGGCAGCAGCCGAGAGAATACAGTAATTTCACGGAAAAGAGTGGCACTGCCTCTCCATAGCGCTCTTCTTCTCAAACGAGTGGATTTATCACCTGCCACACAATTACTCATACGAAGACAGACGGTCGCAAGTATGAGTCTTCAAGCTATTTAAAATACAGAGGTTTTTCTTTTTTTAATCAGTGCCATTTATTTCTGAAGACCCCAGCAAACGCTGCTGCTTGGTCTGAGCAATTTAAACGTGGTTAGGCTTGATAACATTCACCATAGAATCTTCACACCCAGCGTCAGTGAGTCACACTCGGGGCATCAGTGGGTTTGACTCTGCACCTGATACATGAGGAGAGGAGAACGTGGCACTCGGCTCCCTAATGACCACAAGGCCACTGGGCTGAAGAGCCCTTTAAGGCAAAGAGATGAGAACCGGATACTTCACACACTGAGCTCTTTCAAATCAGTACCAGCTTATCTGCCAACAAAACACACAGCTTCAAAATGCCGACACACACAGTGTGTCCTGTGTGGAGGTACAAAAGGCAGTATGTGTATATTTCAAATTGTAAGGCTATACAGAATGATTAGGATCTTTCATGAGTCAGTGAGATTTTGAAAAGTCTTCAAGAGGCTGCGGTAGGTTAGAGACACGAGCCTCAAATACACTATGATTGGACAAAAAAAAGCAAAAAAAAATTTTTAAAGGCAAAAAAATACACCATGATTGGCCCTGAACACCTTCAATGGCATAATCTGATCGCATACAAAAATACAAAAAGCCTGGGAAACACAGACGACTATTCTAGAGAAATTGAGCAAACGCGTTTGAACCTGACCGCTCACCGGTGACGGTGATGGTGACTTGGGCCGGCGCGCACTCACAGGTACTTCCGCATCAGATTCACCATGTCGTCATAGAGCCGCCAGGGGGCGTCCAGGCCCCAGAGGAAGTCCAGGTGCTCCCACTCGGGGAAGAACTTGCTGTACAGCACGTTGGTGATCTGGAGCAGCAGCATGGTGACGTCATTGACGTCCGCCAGCGAGTCCCGGCCGCCGCTCCACACGGCGGTGGGCACGGACATGTTTCTCACGTTGTAAAGGGGAGGCGAGGTCTAAGAACAAAAGCAACAGGAAGCATTGCTGTTGTTTCCGTTTACGAAAGACCCAGTCAACGTAATCGTCATTAAATCCTGTGGGACGGTGAAGGATCACAGAGTGAAAATTGCTCTCCGTTCGCTCTGCAAGTTACTATGACCAGAAAACGGAGAAACCTGACCCGTAGTGACAGGATCTTAACTATGTGCCTGAGGCTGTCCCGCTGTCACCCCGCGCCCGGCACCCCAACGAGTGTCAAGTCCCCTCAAGGAAGGCGCTGGCCTCCCGGGTAGTGGATGTGAAAAGCGCTGGAAAGCAGGTGCTTGGGCACTACAGTGGCTGTAGTGCACGCAGCACTCAAAACACTGGTCGATTGCTTTGTCTATCTTGTGCAATGTAATTTGGCCAAAGCCCTCCAGCTACCAAGTGACAGACAGAGGCTAGTCTGACTCTGAAGTGTGTGTTCCTGGTCACTGTGATGGATGTGTGACGGTGACAGAGCTGGGGGGAAAGGACCGGAAGCCCCGGCCCTTTAATTCCAAACACTTCTGAAGCCTTTACCTGATTGTAATGGAAATAGTTCTTGGCCCTGCTTCCCCAGTCAAAGGCTTGAAACTTCTGGGATTTAATCACCTAAAAAAGAAGATAATTTGGGGGGAAAAAGTTATGTGACATGGAAGTTTGAGAAAGCTCCCAGGCTGCTGGAGTTAACTGCATCCTCAGAAGTCCATTTTACACCATCCCCAGTTTTACTCTTTATTTCCAAACTGTAATTTCAAACAAAATGGCATCAGAGGGGCCTCGGTGGCTCAGTCGGTTGAGCATCCGACTCGGGCTCAAGTCATCATCTCACGGTTTGTGAGCTGGAGCCCCATGTCTGGCTCTGTGCTGATAGCTCAGAGGCTGAAGCCTGCCTCAGAGTCTGTGTCTCCCTCTCTCTCTCTCAAAAATAAATAAACATTTTAAAAAGTTCAAAAAAATTCTTTAAAGTTTGAAGTAATGGAAAGCAATCCTTGCTTACAAATATTTTAGAACTTAGGCAATGACCTGGAAAGGTATTTCTGATTACAGCAGAGACTGCGAACTGAGCCCACAGTGCCCATTCCTGCTTTCTTCTTGGTAACAGAACCCCTAAAGCTTTGGCTAATCAGTTGGCTGCCAGGGTAGGAACACATCCCTCTGCTGCTTCCTTCCTGTGGAGCTGCAATAGTCACGCAGGTGGCCCGGCATCAACCAGGCAGAGCTGCAGGGTAGAGGGAAGGCAGGGGGCGAAGGGGGGGGTCTGGCATGACTTTCTGGAACAGTCACACCCCCTCTAACCCATTCCTGCATCTGGACAGCATTGTGAGAAAGAAAAAGCCATATGGAGGCTATATTTTGGGGTCTCTGATACAGCAACTTAGCCTGCATCTGGCAAACACAATACTGTCTAACTAAATAAAAAGGAAAGCTACCGCAGAGCGTGTAGCCTGATCCCACTTCTGTGATGGAAACGCTGATACTCCGCTAGTATCAGACTGAATGAGTTCAGGACACGCCAGCCCCAGGACACGCCGTTTTGGCATGTCGTCTATTTTGAGTTAACGGTGTTGGAAAAGCAGCAGAGGCCAGGTGGGTGCTCTGAACAGATGTCTTTATCTGAAAGTGGGAGATAAAATTCCCCTATGAAAGAAGCCCTGCCCTGTACCAGGAGGAAGAAATGTTCTTGACCCCAGACTGAGAAGGGAAGCCAAGAGAAAGATGCACTGGAAGACCTCCTCAAAATACCTCTTCTTCCCTCTGTATCTCCTTAGGTCTCCGCTGCTCGTCCACACTGGCCCCGTGGCCAGCCTGGTACAGACTAGTTGGGCTGGTTACCCCATCGGGTCTCCAGTTTTCTGGTGAGGGCACCTGAGCACATGCCATAGTGGCTACGCTGTCTCCAGTTCGTCTGTCTTACATCGGTCCCCATCAGAAGCCCTAAGCAGGAAAAGCGAAAAGTTCACCTCCCTGACCACTGCAAACAGTAAGAGTGGTCACCGCTGGTGGGAGACCTATGCCTGACTTATTTTCTCCTCTGTACTCACATATGTGTAAGATTTCCTCATGAACATAAGCTACATGTATAATAAAAATTATACTAAATGTCCTCCCACGATGTTCTTTTTTTTTTTTTTTACAAATAGTTTATTGTCAAATTAGTTTCCACATAACACCCAGTGCTCATCCCCACAAGTGCCCTCCTCCATGCCCATCCCCCCCTTCCCCCCACATCCATCAGTCCTCAGTTTTTGTCAGCATTCAAGAGTCTCTCATGGTTTGCCTCTCTCCCTTTCCCCCACCATTTCCGCCCTTCTTCTCCCCCTTGTTCCTCAGTTAAGTTCCTCCTAATCCTCCTATACGTGCAAACATATATTTGTCTTTCTCTGCCTGACTTATTTCACTCAGCATAACACCCTCAAGGTCCATCCATGTTGCTACACATGGCCAGATTTCATTGTTTCTCATTGCCATGTAGTATTCCATGGTATAGATAAACCACATCTTCTTGATCCATTCATCTCTTGATGGACACTAAGATATGAACAGACACTTCTCCAAAGAGGACATCCAGATGGCCAACAGACACATGAAACGATGCTCAGCATCCCTCCTCATCAGGGAAATACAAATCAAAACCACACTCAGATACCACCTCACGCCAGTCCGAGTGGCTAAAATGAGCCAATCAGAGAACTCTAGATGCTGGCGAGGATGTGGAGAAACGGGCACCCTCCTACACTGTTGGTGGGAATGTAAACTGGTACAGCCCCTCTGGAAAACAGTGTGGAGGTTCCTCAGGAAACTAACAATAGAACTCCCACGATGTTCTAAAGAGCCTACCTAAGGTATACTTTCTGCTGTTTTTTTTAAGCAGTAGGTTTCGTACAAGAGAAAACATCAGATCACGTGAGGTCCTTATTTGAATGCAGGGACATGCCAGGAATTCCGATTCTCAGCAAGGCTTGGGTGGGCCCCAGACTCTGTATTTTTTAGCATGCCCTGGGTAGTTCTGAGCAACACCGTGGACATGTATCGGGACCGGCCTTCCTCGGCTAGGCTGTGGGCACCCGCTGGCTGGCAAAGGAGTGGAATTGGAAATAGGAGTCTCCTCTGGGTGGGGAAGGGTAGGTCTCTGAAACTTGCCGGGTTTATAAAGAGAATCCGACGTGTAACCTAATTTAAAAGCCCAACAAAGAACCGGGTTGTAGAACTGCTATGATCTGAATGCTAATTATTTAAACAAAAGTCCACTTCCGATTGTGGAAAAGGCGTTTAAGGGTACCCTCAAACTCCTACTGAGGTCTAGAAAATGCAAACTAACTTACAGTGACCAAAAGGAGACCAGTCATTGCTTGCGGATGGGGGGGGGAGGGCGGCGGGCGGGGAAGGGTGGCCTGGAGGGTGTTAAAAGGGGGCATGAGGAAACCTCGAGGCTGACAGATACACTCGCTCTCCTGACCGCAGTGATGGTATCACAGGCATGTGCCTGTGTCAGAACAGACTGAACTGCACACTCCAGATATCAGGGTCCCACTTACACCTCAATACAGCAGTTTGAAGGTGGTAAAACTACAGCTTCTCTAAAGCAGATGGGTCTAGGGATGAGACACAGAAATCTTCACTTTTAGAAGCTGGATTGTAGGGGTGCCTGGAGGCTCAGTCTGTTGGGTGTCCGACTGTGGCTCAGGTCATGATTTCACGTTCCGTGGGTTCAAGCCCTGCGTCGGGCTCTGAGCTAACAGCTCCGAGCCTGAGCCTGCTTTGGATTCTGAATCTCTCCCTCTCTTTCTGTCCCTCCCTGCTTGTGCTCTGTCTCTCTCTCAAAAATAAATAAATAAAACATTTAAAAGAAAAAGGTTCTAGAAGCCAGATTTTAGCCCTCCAACAGCTCTACTAGGAACCCAACTCCTCTCACTTTTTTAAAATAATATTTTATTAAAAGGTGTAATTTTAAAGTCCACTCATGTGATTCTGGTGCAGGCAGTGACTGCCCAGTGCTTGGCAACTGCTGTCCAAGACACCGGTGGCATCCTGGTCTGCAGCTTAAATGGTGAGTTGTTTCATGTTTAAAAAGAAGTTAGGAAGGAAATTTCTACAGAAATGTCCTGAGGTAGAAATAAGCCCCTGTTATATTGTTAGGTGGGTGGGTGGCGGGGGGAGTATAGAAGAGTAAGTAGAAAGAAAATAAATGAATTCACCTAATTAACTAATTTAATTAATCTATTTCTACAACTTTTATTTCTATCTGCATCCTTAACCACTTCCTTCTGGAATGATCTGCAGTAAGAGGTACAGAGTAAGAGGCAGAGACATTTCCTATCTCTGGGTACACATTTTCTTTTCTTTTTTTAATGTTTTATTTATTTCTAGGAGAGAGAGAGAGAGACAGTGTGAGCAGGGGAGGGTCAGAGAGAGAGGGAAACACAGAATCTGAAACAGGCTCCAGGCTATGAGCTGTCAGCACAGAGCCCGACGCGGGGCTCGAACCCACGAACCGCGAGATCATGACCTGAGCGAAAGTCGGACGCCCAAATGACTGAACCACCCAGGCGCCCCTGGGCACACATTTTCTATCTCCATGGACGACTGCACAGTTTGGTTTTTTCTCCTAAGAGAATCTTTGTTATCCTTTTTCTACAGTCATAATTCCCAAATTTTCTAGACTGAGCATGCATCACTTGTGTGGTACATGTTAAGTCAATGAAAGCTGCATTTTAAAAGTGAGTGGCTCCCATTTACGCCCCTGACTTTTAGCTCTGGTTTATCCGCTGGTGTTTTCAATCCCATTGTGTTCATGTGGTTAATCCTGACATTAGCTTCCATCTCAAAGCTGCTGGAAAACTTGGCTTGATGAAGCATCACAGAAATAAAATAAATCTAGGACACGGTGAGAAACTGACAGGGTGGGGCCGGAGGGGAGAGAAAAAAAGTCAAGCCCAACAGCTGTTTGGTGAGCACACACAGGGTACAATGACACAGTCACAGGAACCCGGGACTCAGGGGAAGGAAAGCAGGTCAGATTTGTAAGCGACCGGCTTGGTGTGGGACCGGAAGGAAAGGGCTCACAGACAAGTCCTTCAGGGAAGGCACAGGTCCCTCAAAGACTGATTTCATACAAACCCCAGCACCCCTCCAGAATGCCTACCTGGCTCCAGTGTAACATATTTTGCACAGAAGTCCCGGCAGGAGAGTGTGTTATATACACCGGCACTCTAGACTGCAAAAGAGACACATTGATTTAAATAATGGATACAGCGTTAAGGAGGCATTGATAATAAACCTACTTTGCACTTCAAAGCCACAATCTCAATATAGGAGATTAAGAGAAAAAAAAAATTCTCTGACTACAGATATGTTCTAGAAAACTATGTACAGCCACATACACACTCCTATGGAGGAAACAGCAACATGGTAGCCATAGGGCCACATGGGTTGAGATTACTGGCCATTTTTATTTTCTGCTTCAAGCTTTTCCGAATTTCCAAAATTTCATATAATAATCAGACCTTGTTTTTATTATCAGAAATGAAAAATATCAATACCATTTTTAAAGATGCCCTAGAGCCTTCTTTTGAGAATTTTAAAACCCATTTTCATGATGTGACATTACAAACTACAAATATATTTAGAAACACCAACATATTGCTGGCTGAGGGTTTACATTTTATGAAATAAAAATAAGTAAATAAATGTACACACGCATACACACACACATACATACACACGGAAATGGCTACTCCAAATGTAAATACATGTGCAGTAGTTTTTTAAAAGAAATAGATCATTAGAATACATATAAATATTGGGACTTAAATTATGACAGATGTCCTCACTCAGTAGGTCCCCACAGGCTCACTGTAGGAAGTTGCTAGCCTGAGGAAAGCAGCAGAGAAAATTTGGGGGACACACCCACGTTGATTCTTGAACCTCTTCGATGTCAGACCCATTAGTACTCAGATGAGGTCATTCCTGCTTCTCTCACATCCTCCAGCACAAATAAGCATATTCACAGATAAACTCGCTAAAAGCTAAAGCAAGTTATATTATGAACATACGTACCATATTTAAGTTTCCCTCATTAAATCCACATAGAATAAAAAAGGCATTTCCACAGAGTTCCTTCAGAATGACATGACTGCAAACATGTGCGCTCAGCCATTTCAAAAACGAATTCTGGGGAAGAAATTGTTTGACCCCAAATAAGTGCTGTTAAAAAAAAAGAAGAAGAAGAAGAAAACCAAGAATATTTCAGCATTTATTCTGGAATACGAGCCTCCATGACCCACCTCAGAAGCAGAGACACATGCCCGGTATCTCCACATATGACCTCAAAAAAATGGGAAGAGTGGACGTTCACACTAGGGTACGTATACAGTATGTTCACCAAGGTAAGAGCAGAGGTTACAGATGTGTATTTAAAGTCTCCAGTGAAGGGCACCTGATGCAATGGGAGAAGATATTTGCAAAAGACATGTTGGATAAAGGGTTACTATCCAAAATCTATAAAGAACTTAGCAAACTCAATACCCGAAAACCAAAAAACCCAGTGAAGAAATGGGCAGAAGACATGAAGAGACGCTTTTCCAAAGAAGACATCCAGATGGCTGACAGACGCATGAAAAGATGCTCAACATCACTCATTATCAGGGAAACAAATCAAAATCACAATGAGATACCACCTCACACCGGTCAGAATGGCTAACATTAACAACCCAGGTAACAATAGGTGTTGGCGAGGATGCAGAGGAAAGGGAACCTTCTTGCACTGCTGGTGGGAGTGCAAACTGGGGCAGCCACTCTGGGTAACTGTATGGAGGTTCCTCAAAAAAATTAAAAATAGAACTACCCTATGACCCAGCAATAGCACTACTAGGAATTTATCCAAAGGATACAGGAGTGCTGACTCGAAGGAGCACACGCACCCCAATGTTTATAGCAGCATTATCAACAACAGCCAAAGTATGGAAAGAGCCCAGATGTCCATTAAGTGATGAATAGATAAAGGTGTGGTATATATATACAAAAAGAATGAAATCTTGGCAATCAAAAAGAATGAAATCTTGCCATTTGCAACAACCTTGATGGAACTAGAATGTATTATGCTAAGTAAAACTGTCAGGTAGAGAAGGAAAAATATCTTATAATTTCACTCATATGTGGAATTTAAGGAACACAATAGGTAAACATAGGGGAAAGGAAGGAAAAGTAAGATAAAAACAGAGAAGGAGGCAAACCATAAGAGACTCTTAAACACAGAGAATGAACTGAAGGTTGCTGGAGGGGAGGTGGGGGGCGAGGGATAGGCTAGATGGGTGACGGGCATTAAGGAGGGCACTTGCTGGGATGAGCACTGGGTGTCCTATGTAAGTGATGAATCACTGGGTTCTACTCTTGAAACCTGTATTGTTAACTAAATTGAATTAAAAAAAATTTTTTTAATGTTTTTATTTATTTCTAGGAGAGAGAGAGAGAGAGACAGCGTCAGCAGGGGAGGGTCAGAGAGAGAGGGAATCACAGACTGAAACAAGCTCCAGGCTCCGAGCTGGCAGTCAGCACAGAGCCTGACGCGGGGCCCGAACCCACGAACCACGAGATCATGACCTAAGCGAAAGTCGGACGCTCAACTGACTAAGCCACCCAGGCGCCCCTGTTAACTAAATTGAATTTAAATTAAAAAAATTTTTAAAGTCTCCAGTGAAGAAAAGGGGCAGAAAGTCAAACAACTTCACAGCAGACCTTTTACAGCGAGAAGGGGCAATTAACGGATCACTGACCCCAGGGCCGTCCCCACAGAGCTCCGGTGACTGGCGGATTGGTAGCACTTCCAAGAGTCTAAGCCAGGACCGGTCAACAATGCATCTGTGTAGGGCACCTACATTCAGTCCAATTCTACTGGCCAGTGAGCCAAGTCCTGCCTCTTGTCTTTTCCTTTTAATACTTTTTTATTGTGCTAGATCATGCCTAACACAAAATTTACCATGTTAACCATTTTTAAGCCTTCAGTTCAGTGGCATCAGTTACACTCACGTTACTGTGCACCCAGCGCCATTATCCATATGCAGAGCTATTCCAGCATCTCAGGTTGAAACTCCACCCATTAAACAGTAAGTCGCCATTCCTTGTCCACTGGCACTACCTATGCTTATAAATGAAGTTTTATTGGAACACGGGCATGCTCACTTTTCTAAGCTTTGTCTCAGGCTCTTTTCACACTGCAATGGCAGAGTTCAGTACTTGCTACAGAGACCATATGATCCAGAAAGACAACAATATTTACCATGTGGACCTTTAGAGAAAAGTTTGCCGAGTCCTGACCTACACAGCCCTGACCAGTGGCCACTGAAGCTGTGCTCAAGTGTTTTGGGGGCTGTCACGACACCCTCAAAGATCTTCACACACCTGTGCAATGGGAAATAGAAAAACGATCTCCCTTATCTTAGAGAACCTAAATTGTCTGCCTCCAAACTACACTTCTGCTGATGTCTCTCTCCCCTCGGGAGGGACAAGCAGGCGGGAAAAATTCAAACGCCTACCAAGACCCCGGGGGTGGGTCTTCATTCCCAGTATCTCAGCAGGTGACCTGATTTGGGGACAGGGTCTTCACACAGTGAAGCGAGGATGCAGTGGTCAGCGTGGGCGCTAATGCAGGACCGGGGTGCTTAAAGAAGGGGGAAGCGTGGGCGGAGACAGACACACAGGGAGAACGCACCCACGTGGAGGTGAAGGCAGAAACAGGAGTGATGCTCCTCTAAGCGAAGGAATGGCAGGCAAGGTCCCGGAGGCTGGGGGCGAGGCAGGGGCAGACTCCTCCTCACGGGAGAACGGACAGGATGGGCAGGCGTGAAAATGCAAATGTGTAAAGTGGCAAATGTTTTTGGGTTTTTTTAAATGGTTGTTTATTTTGAGAGAGAGAGAGAGGAAGGGAGGAAGGGAGGGGCAGAGAAAGAGGGAGGGAGAAAGAGAGAGGATCCCCAGCAGGCTCCACACTGTCAGCGCACAGCCTGACTCGGGGCTTGAATTCACCAACTGTGAGATCATGACCTGAGCCGAAACCAAGAGTCCAACACTCAACCCACCGAGCCCCCTGGGCGCCCCCTAAGGTGGCAAATGTTAAACACCACCCTGCCCAGAGGGATGTTTAGGGAGCGTCAAGACCGTGATGAACTGACTGGAAAGCTCACGCTCAGCCTCACGGTACACCTGCGTGTGGTATACAGCGTCCTGCCCCGCCCCCTCCAAAAAATCCATGATCAAGATTCCAACATTAAGTATGCTGTTTAAAGGGTGCAACTAATTTGCAAGGGTCGTAACACTGTATGGGCCATACTCGGTCCACATACACACAGCCTGTGACCTCTGTCACATCTGCCCACCACAAGACAGCTAACCAATATCCAAGGACAGATATCGAATCTTCTTATATGCTCCTCTTCCCCAGGAGAAGGACATTAAGATTAGCTGGGGAGAGGGGCGCCTGGGTAGCTTAGTCGGTTAAGCGTCCGACTTTCGCTTAGGTCATGATCTCGCAGTTCGTGGGTTTGAGCCCCGCGTCGGGCTCTGTGCTGACTGCCAGCTCAGGGCCTGGAGCCTGTTTCAGTCTGTGACTCCCTCTCTCTCTGACCCTCCCCTGCTCACGCTGTCTCTCTCTCTATCTCCTAGAAATAAATAAAATACTAAAAAAAAAAAAAAAAAAAAGATTAGCTGGGGAGAATTGAGAAGTATCACATGCAGAGAAGGTCACAGGGCAGGAAGAGGCATCAGTCAGACTCCTGGCTTTGAGGTTACGTAATGGTCACATGTGACAAACGCATATATTTTCCCTTTGGCCAACAAAGAATGTGAAGTTGACCTCGTACTTCAGAACCACCTGCTCACCAGGAATTCTGTCAAAGCCCCATATCAATCTTGATGACTTTATAATTTATATCTCTGTATGCTGAGAGGGCACTAAACTTTTGTGGAAGCAACACTGATTTCCCAGGGCAGCTAATTCAAAGGCTTTATGAATATTTATTTTTTCACTTTGTCACTTTCCCAAGATATTAGGAAACACCACTGTCTGGGACAGTGGCCCCCCACTATCATCCTGTTTAGTTACTTTAGAATCCCCCAGGGTGCTCTGTGAAAATGCATATCCTGGGCCCCACTTCAGACTGAACAGGACAGCATCTCCAGGGTGGGGAGTGGGAGTTGGTATCCTTACAAAGCTACCAGATCACAATCTCTAAGGGTTAAATGAAATCAAAACATCCCTATGATGGCCATTTCAGTTCTTTATAAGAAAGGACACAGGGAAGGGGGCCTGGGTGGCTCAGTCAGTTAAGCGTTTGACTTTGCCTCAGGTCACGATCTTGCGGTATGTGGGTTTGAGCCCTGCATCAGGCTCTGTGCTGACAGCTCAGAGCCTGGAGCCTGTTTCAGATTCTGTGTCTCCCTCTCTCTCTACCCCTACCCCATTCAAGCTCTGTCTCTCTCTCTCTCTCTCAAAAATAAATAAACATTAAAAAAAAAGGGGTTTTTTTAAGGACACAGAGAGGCAGCAATGGCAAATTAGCAACAACCTAAACATCTACCAAGCAGGAGCTCCTGATGACAGAATACTTACTACACAGCAGTTTAAAACGAGATGCGATTGTCTGTATTAACATGATAGCTCTCCAACAGTTAAACATGTAATCTGGGGAACAATATACATAGTTGGCGACCATCTACATTAAAATAAAACACTAAATCTCTCTCAGGACCTTTGTACGTATTTAAATTCACACACAAGGTGTACAGGAAGACCTCACACGGAGCACTGTTCTAATTCTGAGGAAGGAGTAAGAAAGGCCGTGGTAATTGAAGGGTACTTTCTTTGGAATCTCTGAGCTGTTTATAGTGAAAATGGAGGCTTTTATGACCCAAGGCATTAGAGAGAAAGCTGGTGAGAGGGGGCCACATCTTGTCTGCATGTCTGCTCACTGGTACAGAGAATCTTTCTGAGATCAGAGTAAATGCAGTCTGTACTTCCTGTGACCACCTCTGAAATGGTTGATGTTACACCTCCTTTTAAGTACATGTCCCTGTGTGGGATTTCGTGTGTGCATATAAGCCTATCACGCATAAAACACATAAGAGTGCGCATAATGGGCCATCTGGCCTCAGCTGGCTCTCGACTCCTCATGAAAACTGCTTCCTCTGTGAGCAGAGCTGGGGCCGCGGGAGTCACACAGCTCTAGGATTAAGCCTCAGGGGGGTTACTGGCTTGTGGTTAGGAGCCGTTTTATGAAATGTAATAGGAACAGTGTCTTTCAGTGACCCTCACGGTCGCCATGGTCAGGCGTGTGGGAACTACACACTTCCCACGTCCCGCCTCCCGCCTCCTGCCAAGCACAGGCTACCAAGTGGGGTACAGGGCAACTCCGGATGGCCCGTGCTCTCTGTGTGGTGCAGGAGAGCTGTGCTGGCACGTCGACCATAAGAAGTTGGTGTTCTCGGGCAGAATTGGTGATACACCTTCCCTGACTCCACAGGATCTGGAGAGAGGGGTGAAGGGGGAAGGAAACACTGGGGAGAAGAAGAGCCACTATTTCACTAATAGCAAAACACAGAGGAGGAACACACAGATTCTCCCTCTAAAGGCCAATCTTTCAGGTCTGTAAATGTTGTTGGTGGGGCTCGAGGGGCGTTGGGGAGAATCTAAGTACCTTCAGGAGAGAATCTGGAAATTCTCCTAATTTAGTTAGAGGGCTAGTAGCGAACTTGACTGAAGCCACAGGCGCCAGGGCAAAAAAGATTTTAATCTTTCTGGCCAGTTCGGGAATTTCTGAAAATGCTATAAAACCTGTTGAAACAAAAAAGAAGATTAACAGGCATTTCCATCTTCTGGGACTTTCTCTGAAAAACCAAAGGCGGTAGCGCATCACGCCCTCTAGTGGTGACCTGAGAGCCACGCAGGCAATGTCACCACCAGGAGGCGGCCACATGCCAGCCTCTGAGCTTCTCCAAGCTTCTCCCGGCAGTCTGATTAAACCAGTCAGTCACACACTTGTTAAGTGCTTGATTCAATTTTCAACCTACACACGCACTGGAAAAATCCAGAAGATGCCTCCGTTCCTCTCATCCGGGAAGCCGAGCAAAGGAAGGGCTCTCCCCAACCAGCCCTACCCCAGCACCCAACCCCAGTGCCCCTGCACCCACCCCTGGGAGCAGTTTACAGGGGCATTCTGATCAGTCGCCAAGGCATCCAGAGGAACCTGTATGTGCAGAATGTCCTAGCTGCCTCTTAGGTAACTTCCTGCTTTAAACTTGGCCCCCAAATGTCCCTTTAGAAGGCACTGGGGCAAAGGACACAAGCAGGCAAGTCATGGGAGAAGGACCATAAATGAAGGCAAACACTTCCCTCGACTTGTGAGAGAGGCACATGCATCCGTGTTGCGTGTTCCTTTCTGTCTGTCGCCTCTCAAACTGGCTAAGAGTGTTTGGCAGTAGGGAGGGTGCAGACATTTAACAGCCAGACACTTAAGAATCACTGAGGAGTGATTCTCCTCCTTAGGAATGTATTCCAAGGAGACTGTGTGACTTAGACACACAGCTACTAATCTTGGCACACACAAAAAGGAGGAATTACATAAATTTTGCGTCAGGTCCCCAGTTCCTGATCAGAGGGACTCTCGTTCGCTACCATTACAGGCAATTTTTATTTTCTTTAAACTCTGCCAAATTTCCTCTTTTTGTGTACAATAAGTTCCTTTTATAATCAGCATAAATAAAAAATCCATAGGGCTTTTAGAAACTATTCAGAAAGGAAGTATAACATGGCATCTAGGTGGTTAGTTTTATTCCACTTAACTTGTAAGAGTCTGTGTATTTTCAGTGCCTGGGTGGCTCAGTCAGTTAAGCGTGTGATTCTGATTTCAGCTCAAGTTATCATCTCACAGTCATGAGTTTGAGCCCTGCATCAGGCTCTGCACCATCCGTGCAGAGCCTGCTTGGGATTCTCTCTCTCTCTCTCTCTCTCTCTCTCTCAAAAATAAACAAACTTTAAAAAAAAAAAAGTCAGTGTATTTTCTTGTTTTCTGTTTTGAAGTCTCTGCACTTATTTTATTTTTTTAAAAATATTTATTTAGTTTTGAGAAAGAGAGAGAAACAGAGTGTGAGTAGAGGAGGAGCAGAGAGAGAGGAAGACACAGAATCTGAAGCAGGCTCAAGGCTCCGAGCCATCAGCACAGAGCCCAATCTCACAAACTGTGAGATCATGACCTGAGCTGAGGTCAGACACTTAACCAACTGAGCCACCCAGGCGCTCCAGAAGTGTCTGCACTTACAGCACCTCTTGTTTTCTATCTTCTCACATTCCCATACTGCTGTAACCAGAAAAATATGTACTAGGATGTGGCTTACTTTAATTCTTTCTGTGTCAAGAGAACCATACACCATGTCTATCCATTTACATGAAAGTCTGAATTTTCAGAGAACATGAAATATTACCCCAAATTCCCTGCCCTTCACCTATTCATTACTTCTACTTGGCAGTAAAGCAAAAAACAAACAAATATCTCTATTTGAACTAACTCGATTTTTTAATAGTTTGCTTTGAAGAACAAGCGCAAACTCTGTAATAAGACACTTCTAGTCTTCATTATATACATACCTATTGTGGTGCCTTGAGAATGACCCACGTAATACACTTGTTCTTGGCCAGTTTTATTCAGAATGAAGTTAATGGAAGCTGGTAGGTCATAATTTGCCATCTCATCGTAACTGTAATCCAAAAAAGGAGGCTTTCGTTACGACGCTGCACAAATATAGCCACCTGCTAACAGTAAGGGTGCGGGGGATGAATGACCATAAGCTGAGCCCGGCTGGAAAAGCACTGAACCGAGCACAGAAAACATCAACAGGATTGCGCGAACCCCTTTCTAATTGTGCCTGCCAAAGGTCACCACTGTCCTCGCTTTTTATGGACTAAGTTGTGTTATACCCATTTTTGAACTTTTCTGTAAGTGGGACCAGACAGTATGTACAATTCTGGCTGCACCGTGCTGTCACACAGCCACAGGGTGTTCATTGTATAAGTACGTGGCACCTCATCTGTCCACTCACGGCTGATGGGCACTTGGTCGCTTCCGACTTGTCACTGTTATGAATAGCGGGCCAACAAGTATATTCTTGCACATGCCTTTGGTAAAGTCTGCCATTCTTGCATTTCATGCCCTTAGGTAAGCTCTGGTTTTACAGGTGGGCAAGCCTGAAGGCGTCCAGAGCTCTGACTTTCTCTAACGAACGCCGGGTACCAACACAGCCCTGGACACATGCACGTGTGGGTGCTGTTTGTCATCAGGAGATCGGTGAGTGGACTGTCACCACCGCCTGCAGCGTGCCGGCCCCTCTCCCTGTATCCTCGCCTTTGATCCCCCCAGTGACCTCAGGAGATAGGGAGTTACTACCCCATTTTACAACAAGAAAACTGAGACGCAGAAGGCTTATGCAGCATGCCCAATGTCATACAGTGATCAACAGGGAGAGCCAGGATTGACAGAGAAAGGACAATTTCTGGAAACAGAAAAGCAGACGTTTGGTGTGCATGTTTACGGGGGAAGGAAGAAGATTCTAGGACACCACTTGCCCATCACCTCCCATAGGACCCGGATTGCCAGAATAACTAAAAGTCCGTAGTTGAATCTAATTCTTAAATGTAATCGTCTACTTAGGATTTGCCTACTGTGATTCACCAAATTCCTTAGAAGGTTTAAAACCCTTCACCAGGCATTGGTCTCCCCTCTCCGATAATCCTGAGATTATCTACCTGCCTCCTCGGCGTCTGCGTTAAGGGTACTAAGGAAGTAGACCCGTGTCATAATCGATTCACAGCTACCTGAAGGCCCAGAACTCCTCCTGAGAAACTGAGAAAGTCCTGTGTCTCCGGGACCAGGTGTTTCCCCTGCTGTTCCCCATCCACACGTCAAAACCGGCGTCGGCCAGGATGAAGCCCAGGCTGCTGTTGGGCAGGTTTGTGACCCAGTTACTGGAATCTGCCAGCAGGCCGTGCTGCAGGAACACCACCGGCTTGGGATCTGAAAAACATCCGTGTTTACGCGTCAGCGGCACCCAGCTGAATCCATAAAGGACCCAAGGGGAATAACGAAATAAAAACAGATTAAAATAGTGGGTAGCGATGTGCTCCTACAGAACATCAGTAAAAAGAGTATCTTTTTAAACGGTGCTGGCAAAGTAGCAGCAAAAATAGGCCATTTTGTTTATCTAATAACAAGACACGTTGACTTAACCATAAAAAACTTTTTAATGTATTCTTAAGACCGTTTGAAACGTTTCTGTACTGTGTTTGCTCCCATAATCACATTTCTTACAATGTATCCTAACAAAATAAGTCAAAAGACAGGAAAAGATTACATATACACAAATTTATAAATATATATGCACATATTCCTTTATTTACATACATACTTCTACTTTTATATAGATACATGCAAATTTATTTCCTACTCACCTATACCTGGGACAGTGATGCTGTGGAAAAACAAAGACGTGGGAGGCAAAGATACATGACCTCTGGCTGCCTGAGACCATTCAGTCATTCGTTAAATGAGTCTTTATTGAACACCGACTAAGACCATTCAGTCATTCATTAAACGAGCATTTATTGAACACCGACTGAGACCATTCAGTCATTCATTAAACGAGCATTTATTGAACACCGACTGAGACCATTCAGTCATTCATTAAACGAGCATTTATTGAACACCGACTGAGACCATTCAGTCATTCATTAAACGAGCATTTATTGAACACCGACTATGTGTCGGCATTCTGGACACTGGGGAAACAGCAGAGAACAAAAACAGGAGGAAAGCGATTCACCCTCATGGAGCTGATGTCAAACTGACCACGAGTGTTACAGAAAGACCCGCTTGGGCTCAAGTGTGTCATCTCCGACTTCAAATGTGCCACCGTGTGCAAAACTAGTTCACCATCCCTTGAAACCTGTATCATCGCCTGCAGCAGGAAAATGTAACAGGCACCTTCAAGGAGCAACAACTAGGAGATGTTGCATGAAAAGTTCTTTGCAAAGCGCCTCTCAGCACAGTGACAGTTCAGTAAACATTCGTTCATTACTGTCACCTAACCCAGCCTGGGTCTCCGTTCCATAAATGTTAACAGAAATAAAGGAGATGGTTAAGTGTCTGGAGTAGGGACGGACACACAGATCACAACAAACAAGGAAGAGGTCCTTCACCCCTCTGCTCATTCCTTATGGAAGTGAAATGCGGGGGCGGCTGGGTGGTGCAGTCAGTTAGGCATCTGACTTTGACTCAGGTCATGATCTCACAGTACGTGAGTTCGAGCCCTGCATCGGGTGAGCTCAAGCCCCGCTTCAGGCTCCACACTCTTGCTCCCTCTCTCTCTGCCCCTTGCTCACTTGCACACTCTCTCTCAAAAATTTTTTTAAAAATTAAAATTAAGTAAAAGAAAGAAAGAGAGAGAGAGAGAGAGAGAGAGAGAGAAACGCTGAGGGAAAAAGCCAACTGCTGCGTGGTCAAATCATTACTTGCAATAATAAACCATGACCGACGACAAGGCAGCCAGGCCAGGACTGGGGCTGGAAGGGTTGGGGGTGGCAGAGGGGTCAGCCTGTGGGGACGAGGCAGGCTTCCTACACTGGGGAACACTTTTTTGTTTTCATTTAATTTTGAGAGAGACAGAGAGCTCACAGGGCAGAGGCAGAGAGAGGGAGAGAGAGAATCCCACGCAGGCTCCGGGCTGTCAGCGCAGAGCCCGACGTGGGGCCTGAACCCACAAACTGTGAGATGGTGACCTGAGCCTGTATCAAGAGCCGTACACTTAACTGACTGAGCCACCAAGTGGCCCCTGGAAATTTACATGGGGGGCTCTAAGTCCCCCTGGAGTCTCTGCACTGTATTTCCCTCCCTGACCTACAGCAGCATCAGAGAAACAACGTGGGGATTGGCAGGCTGCAGGCACACCAGAAAACTTTTCAAACACCACCAGTAAAAAACTGCCCCACAAAAGGTTCTGGGGAAGAAAAGGGACCCTGGATCTGTAGAAGTGACATTGCCCCAGGCTGCAGCTGGATGCCCGCAGGGCACACACGGTGGCCCCCGCAGGAGACAGACACCAAGCGGGTGAAGGTCAGCGCCCTATCTGACTGGATGTGTGAAGGGCTCTGTAGGGGCACCTCCCTCCAAGCTGGGTGGGCTTCCTTTCCTCCCAGAACCAAAGCACCCCTTCCAGGAACTGCAGAAGGCACATCAGCCCCTCGGGCTTCTGGGACCCATGATTCCATCCGACGTGATGGCTCATCAATACAGAAAGCACTCGCAGAGCCTGGTGGGGTGACAAAGGGGTCCTAAACAGCTCGTCCCTTCCCCTGGCATCTCATCACTGTAGAGGGCTCCAGAAGGGACAGGGCCCAGGAAACCTGCCTGTCCCGGCATCTCCTGTCCCCTTCCCTCCTGCTCCCAGCAAGGGAAAGAAAGAAGGGAGGGCATGCGTCATTCTCACCCATCCACCACCAATCAAGGATGTGAGAATTCGCTGGAAAAGAAGTATTTCTCCAAGAGGCTTACTCCTCCTGCCACTCACATCTTCCAGTGAATCACTTTAACTGCGTTTCTTTTCATTTCGCTGAGAGGAGCTGACTCAAATAATAATAATAATCAGCTACTACTGCGTGCCCGAGGGCTCCGAGGTACCGTGGAAAGTACTGGGAAGTTGGTACTATTCCCACTTAACAGAACAGGGAAGTGTGGCTGAGGGAAGTCCAGCACTTTGCCCAAGGATCACCAAGAGCTGCTAACTGGGGGAGTCACGATTCAAACCAGGGACGTCAGATGATGGGGTCCAGGATCTTAACCGCTTGCCTATGAAAAGAAGGTTAACCAGAGAAGTCATTCTGTAACATATAGAGGCTCTTGGAGAACGGCAGGCCGAAGAGGGGGAGCTATTTTGAAGGGAGTTGGGCCAAGCACTTGGAAGAAAGTCCTCTCTGGTGGATGGAGGACCCAGGGAAGGAGGTAGGCACGTGGGACCCAGCACAGCCTATTCCGGCAGGGTGCCCAAATGCCAGCATAGGCCACAGGCTCCAGCAACCAACTAAGACAAGAAAATAAGGGCCAGTTCCCCAGCTGTGCCTAGAGCTGGCTTGTGGGGCCCACACTGGCTCTGGGAGAGCCAGGGGCTGAGGGTGAGGGCCAAGGTCACCTAAATAGCACGGAGCCAACAAGCAGCAGCCACCTGGCGCCTGTCTGCCACAGAGCCACCTGACCAGGTCCAAACATGGCTAGAAGGACTAGGGTCCAGAGATGACTGTGCTGAGCCCACACACTCACAGGAGGAAGCGGACCGGGCGGGTAGGAAAGTCCCTCCCACCTCTGCAGCGTGTGCAGAGGGGTGCCCTGCACTCCAACGGCTAAGGTCCAACAAAGCAGCACAGGAAGACCAAGGATGAGGTCCCAAAGATCAGGGGGCTGCCATGAAATAGACCTTGGTTTGCATTGGATGTGACACCTTGTAAGACTCACTCAATCCCTCTGAAGTTTAAGTGCTGCTTTCTAACATGGAAACGATACAGTGGCTGATACGCAGTAAAGGTCAACAAAGCATGGTCACTCATAATCATAATAACTACACAGAGTTGATAAAACAAGGTCAGAAATAAGCTCAGTGAAGGAAGATAAAATGAAGCTCACTCTTTAGCCAGGAAAATATCATCACAGTGACAGCAGGAGCATGCTAAGTACTGACTGTGTGAGCTGCGTGCCAAGCACCTTACATACGTTATCTCTGTGAGTCACCATGCAGCTGGGTAGATGCAGTAGGCTGAATAATGGGCCCCTGAGGATGTCCATGTCCCAGTCCCCAGAGCCTGTGAATGTATCACCATACACTGTAAAGGGACTCTGCAGATGCGACTGAAGATCTCGGGATGCAGATGCCATCCTGGATTGGAGTAGACAGGCCTACATAACCATGAGGCTCCCTCTAAGAAGAGGCAAGAGAGCGACAGAGATGCAGAAGGCCCAACTTTGATGCCTATGAAGCCCGGCTGTGGGGCCAGAAGCCAAGGAATGTGGGTGGCTTCAGGATGCTGGAAAAGACAAGAAAACAGATTCTCCCTGACAATCTTCAGAAGGAACACAGCCCTGCCAATGCCTTGATCTCAGGACTTCTGGCCTCCAGATCTGTAAGATAGTAGATGTGTGGTGTTTTAAGCCACAGTGCAGCTAAGTCATCTCTGCCTAGCTGCGCAGCCAGCAATCCTGAACCAGAACTCACAGTGGGCAGTATGCCTCCTGGGCCTGAAGAAGAGAGGCCTGGCTCCTTGTGGGTTTGGAAGGAGCTTCCATAACCTAAAACTTTCCAGAACAGCTTAGAGGAGTTCCCACAAGCCCCACCCTGCTCCTTCTACAAAGGCAGATTCTAGACAAAATGGCAACAGGGACTTAGCTTACGGCACGCGCACTGCCACCATGTCGCACGCAGTAACGCAAAGTCAGTTGCCCCTCATTGTGAGCGCCTTAAAACCAGCCACAGGACTGGACAACTGAGGCAAGCTAGAAACCCAGCAAAGTCGGCCCCCCACCGGGCACAAACCTGAGGTCTAGAGCTGGTTCAAACCATCCCTGAGACAGGGTATAGGCCACCTAACGCCCCAGGGCCTGGAGGGCTTCCTGAACCCGCCTCAACAACCTAAGCCAGACGATAGCAGGAGTTCTGACATCTGGTTAATTCATAGTTATTCCTAGTGTGTGTCACAAAGCCACCAGTGACGGCTCTGGCTCCCTCACGGATTACACTGTTGTGGGAGAGATGCTGAGCCCCACTCCCATGTTGAAGACAGGTAGGTGACGCCCGGAGAGAGGGGTTAGGTAACCCGCCCCAGCCCACTCACGGAGCAGTGAGCTAGAAGTGAAATCCCAGCTGGTCTCATTCCAAAGCCCCTGCTTTTAACCACTACTCCAAAGAAAACTTTCATGAATAAATAAAGAGGTAGGGGAGAAGAGGTGTGCTTAAAGGTATTCCCTTTCAGGGCACC